CCCTCCCTCCCTCCCTCCCTCCCTCCCTTCCTTCCTTCCTTCCTTCTTTTCTCTCTTTCCCTTATTTATGTACATTGTTTGCATTTCTCTGCAGTTCTATAATGAGCTTAAGTGGCTTGTATTATAAGTGCTCTGCTTTTTCCTGGAACTAGAGATAGGTGTTTGTGTACTGTAGGCAAGTACACATCCACCAAACTGCAGCTGCAGCCTAATCAGGATAGTGCTCTCTCTCTCTCTCTCTCTCTTTTCATTCTCTCTCTCTGTGTGTGTGTGTGTGTGTGTGTGTGTGTGTGTTACATAATATGTATATGTACATGGTTAGTACACATAGTTCCTATTTTTTAAAAATTATAACCAATCCCCGACTACTTCTCTGAAGGTGAGGGTACTTAGTATAATGGTTACGCAGGAATATTTCCTATCTATGTGTGTGGCCCTTTGCCAAATGCTGATGACACTGAGGAGAATATGTAACATGCTTCAGAGTGAGTGACTTATCTTCTCCTTCAGGACCTTCTCAAGGGACTGGGGCCAGTCAAGGACTCGCTTTATGTCCTTCGAGAGTTGGGAGAACAGCTTGGGCAACAGGTAGATGCTTCAGCATCTGCAGCCGTTCAGTGCGAGCAGCTCTGCTTCAGCCAGCGCCTGTGTGCCCTGGAGCAGGCACTTTGCAAGCAGCAAGCAGTGTTGCAGGTAGGGAGCCAGTGGTGAGTGTGTTCTGGAGTGGGCGGGCCTTCCTATGTCTGGGGGAAAGCAAAGGAAGCAGATTCTTCAGTGTTGACATGACACTTCTGCAAACTGGTGGCTGGTTTTCATTATTCTCTACAAAAACTGGTTTAGTTTAGCAGATCAGCCCCTAAAACATAACCACCTTAGCAGAATACCCAGTGAGCCAACACTAAGTGGCTTCAATGGTGATATTCATATGCATTTAAAGCCTTGAACAAGAACTGAAATACTTACTTAGAAAATGGCTTATATGTATTTAAATAACAGCTTTAATTGGTTATTAGGGACTACTACACAGAAACAAATGAAGAGAGCCCATATAAATAAGGAAGAAATACCATTATTGCCTTGTCATTTTAGGAGTAGCATGCCATGGAGTATTGCAGTAGACACTTGCCCTTTCATAGATTTCATTAAAATGCCAATTTATGTCACTAAAATGCCAGTTTCCTTTTGAAATCATAGGCTGGAGTTGTTGACTATGAAACATTTGCCAAGAGCTTAGACGCCCTGGAGGCCTGGATAGTGGAAGCTGAGGCCCTCCTCCAAGCGCAGGATCCCACGCACTCGTCCGACCTCTCCTCTATCCAGGAAAGAATGGAAGACCTGAAGGTAAGTGTGCAAATCTCCCTTCCAGGTTTCACCTGTCTCCTCAAAATCCTAAGGTAAACTCAACTGCCAACCACTTCCTTCCGAGACCCCACCAAAATCCACCTAGCTCTTCCTTCCCGTCCTACTGAGAGGAAAGAACAGTGTATTGGTGATGATTGCCCAGCTGTGATCAGAGCCCTGCCAGGATCGGTCTTTAGGGACCCCCTCAACCCTGTCTTCCTCTTCCAGTCCCACCACGCCTTTCATAGCTTCAAAGTTTCCATGCATGCCACGCCACATCCCTAACATGATGCCCTCCCCGTTCAACCTCCCCCATCTCAGGCTATGAAGCTTCCTGTAGACCTTTCTTCTACCCCTTCCTGCTTCCTTTGTCTCAGCTACAGAGAGAGACCTTTAAAGTTTTGCTTAGTTATGTAGACACAATCAGCCTACATTGTTTCCACATGAAAACTTTGCATTGATTCCATAGCTGCTTACAGTATGATTTGTCAATTAATAATATTAATATAACATTTAAAAGAAAAAAGGCTCTTATTGGATTACCAATAATTTTAAATATTTAATAAATCAAATTTTAAAAATTTAGTAGACTTGCAAATTTTATCACATATCCTTTTGCTTAAAATCCTCCATGTGGGGACTGGGGAGATGGCTTACTCACCGGGTAAGGTGTTTACCATGAAATTATGAGGACCTGAGATCAGATGTCTAGTCTGCTTGTAAAAAGCTGGCCATCCCATCATGTGTCCTCAGGTACCCATGAGGCAGAGACAGAAGTGTTTCTGGGGCTTGATGGTTATCCGTTCCTGTTAAATTGGTGAGCTCTGGGTTCAGTAGGAGACCCTGTCTCAAAATACAAGGTGGAGAGCAACTAAAAAAAAAAGCACTGCTGATATTGACTGTCTTCTGTTGTCTATGTGCACACATATGCATGTGCACCAGCACACATATAGGTGACCACATAGATACATGCAAAATATCCTTCAGCGAGTTCTCAGTGTTCTTAAGACCAAGACCATCATTAAAGAAAAGGCTGGCATCACCCGGCTTCCATCTTTCTTAAGGGTTCCTTTTTGCATCACCATCCACTTACTTTCCCAACCACTGATGCATGTCAATTTTGGTGCCTGTGTTCCTGAGATTCCTACTTCCTGGATTCTTGTCCTCTTTGGCTCCATCTCCTACAAAACCAGTGGACTCATGACCATTTGGGTCAATGAGACTCTCTTAAGAAAGTCTGCCCTCTCTATGGAGGGTCAGGCTATCCACGGACACATTTTTATGAATGACACAATTCTATCCCAAGGTTTATCTTGCCATTCACTTAGGTTTGTGGGAGCTGGTGGTTTCTTCTGTGTTTTCTCCTATTGGAGCAGTAATTTCTCCCTGTTGTCGCATAAGGAGAAGGACTAGATTATATTAGTTTTGTGGATGTCCATTCATGGGAATTCCACAGTTTAGTACTTAGACCTTTGCTTTCAATAATCAGGAAGATTTACTTCTCTAGGGATAGAGAGCTTTTCCAAGAGCACAAGAGCATGCAGTGCACACACGCTCGCGCGCGCGCGCACACTCGCGCACCCACACCCACACCCACACCCACACTCTCACACACACATGCACACACACACACACATACACACACACACACACACACACACTCTCTCTCTCTCTCACACACCCACACACACACACTCTCTCTCTCTCTCTCTCTCTCTCTCTCTCTCTCTCCCTCCCTCTCTCTCTCTCTCTCTCTCCCACACACACACACACACACACACACAGCCCAAAGTGGGCTGACATGCTTTGCTTCCTGTAGCCGGTTGTCTAGATAGAGACAGAAATCCCCATGGGAAATAGATGTTCACTTTGTTTGACATATTGACTGCTGTTGGTTTGAGGCTTCCTAACTCAAGGACATCAAATTGATGCAAGCATGATCTTTCCAAAGTCTGGGTGAAGCTGCATTCCTTCTAGCAATGGCTGGACAACTTCTCTGTACCTGGCTCTACCCGTTTGAGCCACTTACTTACTTCTTGTTCCTCTCTTTCTTCATCATCAGGAAGGGACTACAGTGGTGTTCTACCTCATGTAATTTCTTTTAAGGATAAAATGAGTGATTCCTTGTAACCCTGTTATAACAATTCTTATTCACGCCAAGAGCTGCATTGCAGTTGTTACTGAATAAAAAGGGGTACATTAGCATAAATGAATTAAGTCTAATGAGGATGCAATGAACTTTTCAGTCATCAGCATAATTTTTATCCTTGCTCTGTTCTGTGGAGAGTAAACCAATCCTGTAAATGAGATATTCCATGTAAGCTTCTACTGTCCATCAAAGGACAATGAGCGATCATGAACAACAGCAACCTCAGCAGGGCAAGTTGAGGAGATCTGGGCAGGTGTTCCTCTGGAGAGTGTGCCTGGCCTTAAGGAACTGAACAGACCAAGAACCAGAGTCTTCTGATGTCAGACACACACAGCTCACAGTAAAGAGAACCCCTACCTCTGCTGACATGGGACTGAACTTGCTTTCCACTGTCACTGGCAGGGACAGATGCTAAGGTTCAGCAGCCTGGCTCCGGATTTAGACCGTCTCAATGAGTTGGGGTACCGGTTACCCTTGAATGACAAGGAGATCAAGAGGATGCAGAACCTGAACCGCCAGTGGTCTCTGGCGTCTTCCCAGACCACAGAAAGATTCAGGTGAGGAGACGTCTTGGTCATTTTAGGAGTTTTTGTGCCTTCATGCTGCTATGACAGAATACCACAGACTGGGAGCTATGTATACATATGAAGTATTTTCTCATGGCTTCGGGTGTAGATCAGTTGATAGAACGTTTGCCAAGCAGAAATGAAGCCTTGGATTTCATCCTTAACTACCTAAATCCACATAAACTGAGCAGTGTGGTGGCAAATGCCTGTAATCCTAGGGCTCCAAAGGCAGAGGATCAGATTTTCAAAACCCTTCTCAGCTGTGTGGCTTGTTCAGGATCTGCCTGGGCTACATGAGACCTTGCCTCAAAAACAAAAACAGAAAAACAAGAAGTTTGGGTGTCCAGTGAGGGCTGCTTTCTTCCTGTTCCTCAAGGCCTCCAGAGGGAAGAAATGGCCTCTTTACATGCAAGAAAGCCAAAGCATGCAAGGGAGGGCCTCACAGGGGGGAGGGAGGGCCTCACATGGGGGGAGGACCTCACAAGAGGAGGGCCTCAGAGCCAAATGAGCCTTTGAAACTCCCACCTTTGGAATGCTGTCATATTGACCTTTAATTTTGAACACGAGAATTTCAAAGCAGATACATTCAAACTACATAACTGATAATATCAGGAGACTATGAATTTATTACACGTGTGTGTGTAAATTCTAGAATTTTCCAGCAACAGCAAACAAAATGTGAACTAAAAGTAGAAAACTCAAGTTGTAATTTCCCATATTTAAAAATGTAAGCCATGTTTCAATCATAAAAACTGTTTCAAATGAGATCATACTCAAAGGATAAGCACAGTTTTGAACATTCAAACATTAGTATTTTAAATGCTGATGACTTTGGATTTTATAGCTTTACCACCAACATGAAATCTTTGTAGGACTGTGACCAAAATAGAGGCAGAGAATATTTAATCTATTTTATATTCTGGGGGGATGCCAAGGTGACCACATAACCATTCTTCCTTGTTCATCATGTCAGCAAGTTGCAGTCATTCTTGCTTCAGCATCAGACTTTCTTGGAAAAATGTGAGACGTGGATGGAATTCCTGGTTCAGACAGAGCAAAAGTTAGCTGTGGAGATTTCAGGCAATTACCAGCATCTCTTGGAGCAGCAGAGGGCCCATGAGGTAAGTGATTCAATGAGCTTTGAACTAACAGAAAGTTTTAATGGCTGAGGATAGGGCTCTGTGTGTACAGATATCTGCTGCTAAGCATGGTAGCCTGAGTCTGCTCCTCACAAGCCACACGGTGGGAGGAGAGAACTGATTCTTATATATTGTCCTCTGACCTCCACATGTGTGTCCCATCAGGCATGTACCCACAGACCACACACACACACACACACACACACACTAAATAAAAGCTAATAGAAATTTTAAAGACATTAAAGAAAAATTAGGCCCTAGCCAAGCATCATTCATGCTAATTCTAGCACTCAGGAATCAGAGGCAGGAGGATTGAGGCAAGTTCAAGGCCAGCCTGATCTTTGAAGGATTTGGGTAGTGGATTTTGCTAAGACTGAAATATGTGTCAATTTCCTCTTCTTCTTTTATCTGGCAATTTTAATGTTTTAAGTTAAGAAATGTAGATTGGCTCTCTTGTCATTGTTGTCAGTCATTGTCATGCTCTTCATTTGAAGTACAGAGAGTGTCTGATTTACAGTTAGAGAGGCAGGTATGACTGGTTCTGGTGGCACTTGGAAGAAGAGGCAGGTGGATGGATCTCTGAGTTCAAGATGAGCCTGGTCTACCTAGTGGGTTCCAGACAGCTAAAATGCATAGCAAAACCCTGTCTCAGGAAAAATAAAAAGACAGACATGGTGACACACACGTGTGTAATCACAGTGCCAGAGTTTCAGATAGGAGGACCGTGATTTCCAGGTATAACCTCGGCCCACAGCAAATTTAAGGCCAATCCTAGTTGCATACCAAATCCTATCTCAAGAAGAAGAGGGAGTGGGGTGAAGGAGTAGGAAGAATCATATGAGTAGACAAAGAGGAGGAAGAGGGGAGGCTGGAGACTAGGAAGAGGAGGAGGAGCAGTAGAAGGAGGAGGGAGGATTGGGAGGAGAAAGTGGAGAAGGGGGTGGAGGTCTAGGAGGACAGAGGAAGATTATTGTAGTTACAGCTTGACTGGGGATGAAGGGTGGGCAAAAGCAGGAATGCAGAAAATCAGGCAAGGGCTTTGGTAAGAAGCAGCTACAAGAAGGAATTTGATGGTCTTCAACGTATTAAACAGAGTTAGCACCCAGCTTAGTCCTTCACTCCCAGGTGTTTGCTCCTCAGACAAATGCATCCACCTAAAAATGCATGCATGTCATTCATAGTAGCTCTGGTCACAGTGGGCACAAAATAGAAAGGCCCAGCTGTGCATCCACAGATGGCAGGATGAAGGGTGCTGAACTCACACAGAACAATACAACTCAGAATAAAGAGTTAACCCTGAGGACTGTGGATGGATATTGTAAATGCAGTGCCAAGTGAAAGAAGCCAGTCACAGGAGAACGTATTACACGGTTCAGTTCATTTGAAATACACATAGTAGGCAATTTCCATAAAGGCATGAAATAGTCAAGGAGTCGCATGGGCTTGGGCACCTGGGTGCTGGGAGGAAATGAGGAGCAAATATTATTGCATTCAGCATTTCTTTGGGGGGTGAGGAAAATATTTAAAAATCAAATGCTTGAAGTTCACATCTGAAACAACACAAATTATTAAATGGATACTTAAAATGTATTAATTACATGCTATGGGGATTATATCTTAAAAAAATGCTGTTTAAAAATAAAAACAATAGGACCTGTAAATGTGTGAGAAGATCACATGTGCCCAGCTGTTCAAAGTCAACCTGATGAAAACCCATCCCCAAATAAACAGCCAGAGAAAATAATTAGAAATATCAATCTTTCTATGGGCCTTTCTATTACTTTAGCTTTTATTATCTTGAAGCTTGTGAGAATCGAACCTAGGGCTTCAGGTTTTACCACTGATGCACGCCGGAATCCCTGAAGGGATTTGTTTTTGTTTTTATACATATAATGAGATGAGATGATTTTACTAGCGTGACTGAATTGAAAAACAATGAACTTAAAAAAAAAAAAAGATGACAAATTGTAAATTCATCAGCTTACCTTATTAGGTTAACTTTTAAAGAATAAAAAAGTGGGGAGGGATAAGGCTATGTTTAGTCATCTAATTAAAACCCCAAACTAAAACGTTGTCCTTAAGCTTATCCTAATTAGTAATTGTTTTAAAAAAAGGGTTACTCCCACACCACAGATGGGGCTGAATATGTTTTTCCTAGTCTTGCTTAAAACAAACTGCAGTAAGTTATCAGAAGAAATTAGGGACTTTAAAGTATATTTCTTTTTCAAATTACAGCTGTTTCAAGCAGAGATGTTCAGTCGTCAACAGATCCTGCACTCCATCATTGTTGATGGGCAGCATCTTCTAGAACAAGGTCAAGTTGATGACAGGTAGGATCTCTGATAAATTGCTATGAAGAAAGTTTCTCCTGTAAATTAGTCATTTTCTTTTTAATGAGAGATTAGAGGGCATATATCCAATCTTCCTGAGGCAATTGTATTATCACGGGGCCTTGGTAATTGGAGTAAAGGCTTGCCTGAGTCTCTGAAATGAGTGAGTATTGAATCTTTGCAGCGAATGCTATTATATGATATGAAGGACGTAGGGTAATTGGAAATCACCTAGCCAACCTTCGCTACTCATCTGTAGGGACCGGAATTAGTGAATAGATCAGAATGGATTGGATCAGTGGTCGGTAAGCAGATGCTACTAATATCCTCCTGCACTTACTACAATTTTGCTCCTAAAAGAAGCCAGGTACCACTCGTCCTATTCTCTGAGAGATGAACAGCTCCAGATGCACACAGGAACCGAATTGAGTGAGGTCGCCTAACTAAGTGGGAGCGAGATAGGCTTTGAGTTACGGGCACTCCATGGCCAGGACTGGCCTAATTCTAGCCAGATTCCCCAGACTATACGCTGTGTTAGAAAATACTTTGCCACTTTAAACTATACCATGTTAAATGTGAAATCCTTCTTCCCCATCACAACAAACTCTTTATTTAAACCATAGATGTGAAGTTCTAGCTTCTCTTGCACCATGTGAGTTGTCAGTGTCGCAAGTATATATTCCCTGGACCAGTATTCACTCATCCAATTTCCATGTTCACATTTGGAGGGATTGATTTCAGTACCCATGTATATGTTTCTCATACCCAGGTCCAGTCGTTGTAATTATAATTAACCACGGTGTGTTCTTAAATTGTTAGAAAATAAGTCATTTTTTATTAGAAGTTTTATCTTTAGAGCTTTAGAAGCTGTTTCAGCCTTCAGTAATTGTTTTGCAGGAAATTCACAAAAGATTTGCATGGTTAAGATTGGAACAATACTATGTAACAACGTGCTTACTCAATTCTGAGCAAGCCAAACTTAAATGTGAACATCACTGAGAATTTAAGACTCTCCAAATAAAACAAATTCAAATGTAATTACCTTTTATCTTTTGCTTTACCGGTCGGTGGCCAACTCTCTAGCATTATTACAAACATTCAAGTCATTAAGTGAAATAAAATTTAAAATTCCTGTTCACGCCAACATCTATTAAACTTTAAATGCTAACATTTAACGGGGGAAGGGCATACAAAGGAGATGAAAATGGGAGAGTTGGAACTAAATGAAGAATTTTGAGGGTTGCTGGTAAAATATAAACGACAGATTGGCTAAGAGTCTGTGGCTGGCAGGAAGGTTCCAGACAACAAGGATTTATGGTATGAAAGACAGCATGTGGGTTTTTGTTCTTAGAACTTCAGCTCTGGGAAGAACTTCAGTAGCTCATCAAGGGCCTCCAAATCAGGACAGTTTACATGCTAAAAACATGGCTTTCCAGAGATCTTGAATGTAACCTGATGCCTCCACTTCTTCATGCTCTCTGCTGTTATCAAGTCTTGGGGTCATACATTTTCTGAGGTGTCATGTCTTTTAAGGGCATGCCATGAGGCTAACCCTCATGCTTGGATTCGACTAGTGTAGACTCTATCATGATACGTGCCTATGTAGTACAGAGCCAAATCTATGTTCACAAGCGAATTCGATCACCAGGATCTTGTCATTGCCCTAGGGAACTCCTTTTTAAACACATGTAAGAAATTCTTTTTCTGTTTTTTTTTTTAACCCAGTGCTTTTAATATTTTATGGTGATTAATTGATTTTTACTGTTCAATAATCATTGGTTCCAATTCAATCGTTCAATAAGTAATGGCACATTTGGTTGTAAATTCAAACTTTATGGTCATCTCAGATCACAGGGTGTATCAGCAAAATGGGATTTCAAAGTGGTGTAGAGTTCTAGAATAGTAATCTACACCACAGAGCAGAGTCTAAGTGATAGCAGAAGTATTAGGAGATGCTACATTTGTGATCAGCACCAAAAATCTACCAAGAAACATCCCATTAAATGCCTGACACATCCTTATTAAAGCCATTTCTATGCTACGATTTGTATATTAAGTAAAACTTTATAAAGCAATGCCAATATGTTTTTAGGAAAGAATACATTAAAACACCTGCAATTTCTCAGCCTGAATTTGAGAAGGTCCAAGTGAAATTTAGTATCTCAAAGTGTATGAATGACCTTCATCCATATTTTTTTTCTAAAAGAACATGTAAAATTTACATAAAATTTGTAAAAGACAATTTCTTTTTTTTAGTTTTTTATTTTTTATATATTTGAATTACAAACAAGATTGAATTACATGACGATCCTAGTTCCCTTCTCCCTCCCTTCCTCCCCTACCACCCCCCAGCTAAAATCCTACCTGTCATTTGTCCTTTCTTCTAATCAAAAAGACAATTTCTAATAGTAATTTGCTTGCGATTGCAGTCATCACATATGAGGGAATATTGAGACTGTTTATGAACAATGTTTTAAAAAAAGAAAACCAAAACTATTAATATAGTGTAATTTAAGTGGCTTGGTTTTGATTTTCCAAAATGGCTTAAGATTTTACCTGGGGAGGGAGTTTGTAGGTAGATCTAATGGCACATTGCTTGCTGTTTTAGGGTAGGAGAGGCTGTCACAGGCTCTTGAGACTCCCCCAGACTCCACACATATGCATGGGGGGAGTGTATGATAATTACCATAGATTGATTTCTATCTGGGCTGAGCTATGCAAGCACTCACCATTTGTAGATTGGTAGCAACTTTAAAAACAACTCGAAACTTGTAACCCAACGAACAGACCATGGTTTAGGTCATGTCTCAGGGCTTACCCTTTATGGAAAACATATATTAGCTGATACTGTGACTATATCCAAGACAATGATTTTTTTATTAGATGATTATTTCCTCACCAGGGATGAGTTCAGCCTGAAGTTGACACTCCTCAGTAATCAGTGGCAGGGAGTGATTAGAAGGGCCCAGCAGAGACGGGGGATTGTCGACAGCCAGATTCGCCAGTGGCAGCGCTATAGGGAAATGGTGGAGAAGCTCCGGAAATGGTTGGTTGAAGTGTCCTATCTGCCCTTGAGTGGTCTGGGAAGCACCCCTGTTCCACTGCAACAAGTGAGGACCCTCTTTGATGAAGTGCAGGTAAGATGCAGACACAGTGCCCACAAGCTTCCTCTGCATGTTCACTATGCTTAACTTTGGCCTTAGTTCTTCAGGTGGACTTTGAAGTGACTTGAAAATCAGGGCAGAAATTCTTAAGGGTCAACTGAAACATGTAAAGTGATAGCACTGCAAAATTCCTATGGGGAAGAGGGGATTGGAGCCATCTGAAGCCTCGCCAAGGATTCCTCTGCTTTGGACACCAAGGCCTCCAGCAGTTTCTTGCACCGTAGCTTAGATTGAAAGACAATGGCAAGGAAAGACAATTGGTGTTGGTCAGGGAGATTTAATAATGCAAGCTGGTCCCTCTCAGCACTGTTAGCCTGTCCACATATGTTTATGACCCTTCTCCTATAGAGGACTCATCTGGCTCCTCCCCCATCCCAATGTCCCCCAGAAAAGGCATCTATATAGACATGGCCTCAACTACCCACTACCGGTAGAGAAGGGCAAACTGGCATCTTTGGCCAAGTTCAGCTGCTGAGGTTCTGATTCATACATACAACTACCTTTTAGGCAGAGAGCCTATGATCTTTACACATTTTAGGACCCTAATCAGGAAATGTTCTACTTTCTAGTCTGCTGGTCCGGGATCCCAAGAGTTACTGCACGGCTAACTTCTTTCTTAACTCCCACTCCTCGAACTCAGTCTACCATGAACGTCCATCCCTGTGGCCACTCCTCATGTTCCTTGCCTTGGCTGACAGTAGCCTAACCTGCCTCATTATGTACAGTGCACACCTTTTTCATTCCACTTTCTACACTACCAGTGAATGCTCGTGTTATAACTTTCATCCAAGCACATCGGTCCCCTGCTTAGTATTCTTTTTTTTTTTTTTTTTTCTGAGACAGGGTTTCGCTGTATTGTTTTGGAGGCTGCCCTAGAACAGGTTGGCCTCTAGCTCACAGAGATCCACCTGCCTCTGCCTCCCGAGTGCTGGGATTAAAGGCATGCTCCACAAACGCTCGGCCCCCTGCTTAGTATTCTGTGATAGTGTAAAAGCCAAATCCCTGGCTAGGTGTGGTCACAAATTTCTGTAAATCCAACCTTTTGGCGGCTGAGACAAGATGATTGCAAGTTTAAGACCAGCATGAGCTACATACCAAAGCACTGTCTGAATATGGGATAGAGCCATGGGTCAGCAGTAAGAACACTGGCTGTTCCGGAGGACTCAAATTTCATTCCCAGCACCCACATGGTAGCCACAACCACCTATAACTTCAGTTCCAGGGCATCTGAAGCCTTCTTCTACTCTTCTTAGGCACTGTATGCACACAGTGCATACAAACATGCATACATGCAAACAAAACACTCACAAACATAAAATTTTAAAATTCTCTTGTTTTGCTGCTACCATTGCATTCTCACACAAGCACTTCATATTCCAGTCATGACAAAGTATGTTGTATTTCCTGAATTCATCATGTGTCCCTTATATGGTCAATGTACCCCTCCTCATTTCCCTTTAGAAGACGTCTTCCCTGTCACACTCATCTCCTCTTAGTCTGGTTGCATTCAGGTGTCATTCAAGACTCATTCAGTCTTGACTGCTTTGAGAGACCTACTGTGTGCATCCATGCTGGGACAACTGTCACTCTACTATCCCTGGGCGTTAGTTAGTCTTATAAGCAGAGTTCACAGTGTGCTGAGATTATACTTCTCGTTCATTTACATTTGGTTCCTTTACAATGTTCTTGTTGGGCGCAGGAGGGTTACCTATGCAGTCTAACACACAAGGTCAGCCGAATGCACTTACCATGGGGTACTGATGTGGAAAAGGAGAAAAAGTAAAAAGCTCTGGTCCCTTTCAGTTCAAAGAGAAGGTGTTCCTGCGCCAGCAGGGCAGCTATATCCTCACCGTGGAGGCTGGCAAGCAGCTCCTGCTCTCGGCCGACAGTGGCGCTGAGGCCGCCTTGCAAGCTGAACTCACAGAGATCCAAGAGAAATGGAAGTCAGCCAGCATGTATCTGGAGGAGCAGAAGAAAAAGCTGGCTTTCTTATTGAAAGTAAGTTGAGGTTGGAGGCCGCTTCAAGGAGTTGTGCTATTTCCTCCCATTGTTTCCCTGAGATGCACATCATGCGTGATCATGGAGCCGGCACCTCCCAGTGATTTTCTATTTTATTTAAGACTCTGTTCTGTCTTGCATGAACTCGAAAAGTTTCCCAATTGTCAGGGAAATCCCCTAACAAAGTAATTTAAACTCTAATAAGGCTGTCCAAGTGAATAATTCTGATTAATGGCCAGTGCTATGCCTCGGAGCATGTGACAGCTTTAGAAAGCCAGGCAGAAACTCAAGAAGCAGATTCCATTCCCTAAACTGTAGACGGAAAGGGCTTTAAAGATCGATATCTCGTATTTTATAGCTGGGGAAAAAGCTAACCCAGAATGAGTCTCTTGATTCGCCTTGGTTTATCTAAACAGGCTGCCATTGGCCAAAACTCTCCAAGAGGCGTCTCAGGCCTTTCGTTGGCCACAGACACTGTGATCTCCAGGGCACTGAGATTAAGCCATGCCACCTGCAATGAGCTTCTACCCCTCAAGTCCATACTATTTATAAATGGTGTTCAGTTCAGCAGTTATGCGTGTGTGAACAATTCATAAGGAGACTCATGATTCACTAAAGCGAATAAGCGCTCATAAAAATGAAATAAAAAGAATATGCCCTAAATTCAGATAAGACCATGTAGAAAACCATAGTTTTTTTTTTTTCTTACCTTCAGAATGGGTATAATTTTACCTCATCTATTTGATCATTGTGAGGATTTACCAAAATAATTCCAGGAAATCTTGAGGTAGTGGACACACACATGGCTGCAGCTGCCATTATTGTTATTAACACTTAAAAGTTGTACCTAGGAAATGTTGCCATTTTATATATGTTGATAATCACCAATTCTTCTTGATTATTAAGTAGAGTATGCTACCTCTTTGGATGGAAGGAGGCAGTTCACAGTATTTGAGCAGATTTTTTTTTTT